CAACAATTACTGTCTCCAACTAACAATGACTGCGCGTACACTCATTGTTAAGTTTTAACTGGCCACCGAGAACCAGTCTTATTTAACAGAATAAAGACAAGTGCAATGAAGAAAACAATAAAAACTGTATTAAATGAATTTTAAAATAAAACGCTCAGTTAGATTCTTCCGGTGTACATTCAAGAGCAATGTAGCGGATTTCATGGTGGGCGATGGAGCATTTCTAGCTGTATTTATGACTTTTATTTACGTTTTTTGTTTCGGCATTAGTCTATTTCGTAGAGTTATTTTATCTAAACTTTAGATTGAGCATCAATTCACTGATTATAACTTGAAACAAACACGTTTTATTGCATAAATAAAAACTATGATTGGGACAGTAGAGTAAAATACACGGATTGTCAAATTTATAAATTGAGATAAAGTCATTCCACGAAATTCGGAAATGTGGCTCGAGACAACATCACGTTTCCTATTGTAAGTGATCCATAAATAGCTTTGCAATTCAGCGGAACGTGGAGCTCGTGGCGTCACGTAGCTTCAACCCCGAAATAATACTTAATGCTGATGATGCCTCCGAGGTCGACGCCCGGCTCACGAAAACTAATCAAATTATACGCAAAGGTGCATCAACAAAATTATATGGCTACAGATTGAAAACTGATTTCAATAAATGTAATGAATACTGAGATTTTTGTGTAAGATATTTCTAGAACATGATTTTTCACTGAAAAAAAAAATAACTCTCTCGGTCTCACTCAGGTAGACTCAACCTTTCGTTTGCCGGGCGACTACTACAAGACGTCAACGAGCTATGATAAAGACGCTATTAAAATATCTAATTTTAGATAAAGATGAAAGGGCTAATTCAATGCTTACTGAAATTTTTAATGACATAAAAACGATCGCAGTGTGTCAAATCTTAACTGTACGGCAATTTTTTTAATCATAAATAATTTGTACTAAACGTAATGTTATCAAGCAGATTGTCCCTGAGTGGCAAAGATATCTACGATCCGTCTGTCCAACGACTGTAAATGGACCATAGTTTATTCCTCTATTGTTTAAATCGTATTTTATATGATCGTTTCTAGGGTGCGTGGTATTGTTCGGCGTGAGTAGCACGACTTAGCCGCCATCAAGTTTTAAGCGACATGCAAGAAAGGAGAAAAGGACAACCGGTGATATAAGAGACGCTTAGCAAGGTAGCGCGCGTGGGCAGTTGTGACGTATTGTGAATACACCGGCCCTATCGAGAGATCCATCTATTGATTCCCGACATGAGCCTGTAGGTGTTCGACGAGAGCTGACTAAGGTTACGTAGGCTTACAACATTAATCAACACGGTTAATCGTATACCATGTAATTGTAATCACAGTGAGCGATTTGCAAGGGGCATTTATTTAATCGATTCGCCGCGCAACGAGCTAAGCCATTATAAAAATATACTGTTTACCTTTTAATTTATGATTCTTAAATTACAACTCTGGTATAAATGATTCCGATTATTCTGCACCGTTGTGTATTTGTTTGTCACAAGAAACATTTATTTGATTTAAATGTAAATAGGAGTCTACCGCACGGCGGCCCTCTAAAAATGAAATCACGTTCTATAGCTATTTCGCCCTAAGCTATTCATGTTATTAACTCCTTATGTTTCTAATAGGAAAGCACTCATAGCCACGACACAAACACGTATTGTATGCTTAGGCACATGCCTGTGCAAGATAAATATTTACAGGTGGTTGACCTGACTTCCTTCTTGAGCTGGTCGAACAATAAAGGATAATAGTAAAATAGTTCAAATAAATCCTTCAGAATTGATAGTGCAACTATACTAAACAGTTTAAGCTTCAGAAGAAGATTTAGGGTAGACATTTACTACTGTACATTCACGCTAAGTGGTTCTACATTCAGTACTGGAGCGGTGATGTATTCAAACGGATCGGAATTATGTCTAGATATCAAGGCACGAATTCAACTGCGAGCACCCATGTACGGAGTTCAGCTGCCGTTATCTGATGTGAATTTACTGCTCAAGATTAAACTAGTTTAAAACAGTGCGGTATGTATCGGAAGGGTCTGGGAGGGGCGCCCTCGGTAATGGCTTCTTTAGGTAATGGCGATAAAAACATTTCCTCGTGGTAGCGTGCTTACGTGAGAATAGCAGTGGGGCGTGACGTTGACGGATGATGCGCGGGCGCGAGGGTCGTGACAGCGCTCGGGACGCGTTGACACGACTGGCCGGCCGACGCGGCTCGCGCCTCCGATGCGCAAACACCGTAATTTGCGCGTCAGACTAATCGAGACAAAACGCCCGACAATTGGGTCTCGCGAACCTTGAACTTCTATTACAAACAAATAACGGTTTATAACACACCCCGTTCTATGTTCTAACCACCCGAACGCCCGCTATGTCTCCCACAAAAATAATATAAAACCACTTGAGCCGACCGAGCGTGTTAAAAGTTTTATTAAAAGAGATCACGATTCGTGATAGGTGAAGTTTAACTACCGCCTTGGTGTATAATTCATCGCCGATCGCGATAATGAGGATACATTAAAAACAACGCGTGTCGTGATATGTGAATGTATTAAAAGAAAGAGGAAAAAACCCTCGAGATAGATATCGACGTGTCTGTCTAAACAAATAAGTACTAGTGTTGGCAAAAAAGACTCATTTGAGTCATTGCTTGACGGCTTGCTGCCGACATAATAACGATGCATACTTTTTGTTTAATGGAGGTAATAAAATAATAGCCATAATTTAAAAGAATTATACGCTCCATTTGAATAGATAAATGTTCTACTATATCTCAGTTACAATTTTATTACGAGTATATGACCGTAATGTAAATGCATGAGACTGGAAACGTAAAAGATAAAATCGATAGTAAGAATAGTCATAAAAGTATTAAATGATTGAGGATCCCATGGCTACATAAAACCTCCCACAAGTCTTGGTAGTTGTTCTTTAATTGCCATATAAAGCAATTAGGGTACATTAATCAAGATACGTATTAAAAAAAAAGGATTGGAAGCGTTGATCATGCAGGTAGTTTATATTGCCGTTTACAGGCACTTATTTGTGTTTAATTGATGGCAGTAACTTGTACCTATCTAATAAAATAAAACGACCAATTAGAATACAGGCTTTAAAAAGAGCATTATTTCTACGGTAATGTGACTACTAATCTCTCCAATGATCTACAAATTTCGAACATTTCCTCCATAAAATTACGGTTATTTTTTCCTCCTAATATTGCTAAATCACAGCAGCTCCCACACTATTTTCATTGCTGTCCATTGCTCGTTATTTGAGTGTGAAATCGCAATTGTAAACTGGCGCGTATACTTTACCATGTTGATGGGAGTTCGAGGTTCTGTTTAGGGTTCAACGATCACGTCGGCCAGTGGTGGTGGTACCCGACTGACGGATCGGAGACTTTTTGTGGCGATACGTACCCAAGCGTGGGACAGCGTACAGCCAGTGACGTAACAGAAACCGAACAGATGATTTGATTAATGGAACAGATTGAGAAAATTGAGTTGGCATAAGATAAGTGGCTGTGTTCTATTTAGGTGACGCGCGGTAGATTTAATGTGACGGGTAGAGATAGGTTTTTTGAAGATCGTCTGCTACGGTGATAGAGCTAAAACATAAGTGTATCGATAATGTATTTGTGTACTTTTTTAAGTGTGGGTAATTTTATTCATAGTAAAAAAATAGATTGTTTTACATTTTGACAGCTTGGATTGACGGCGATAGCAAACAAGGCGGTCGCTATAAAATATAGAGCCAATGAAAAGAATTGTTAATAGTATGTTAAAGCCATTAAAATTAGTGTCAAAGCATAGTAAGTAATCTAGTGCTTTCGGATGGTAATTAAGACTAACTGTTTAAGATGTAGTCAATTAATTCAAGCGACATTAACGATCCAGATAAAAAGTTACATAATAAAATAGGACTATCCGTTTCTTTAACCGTTACCGAAGATTGCTCATTAGATGCTTTCAATAGCTCATTAGGGAAATCTTGCACCTACCGGATAGTGCACGAGATGTACCGAGGAATTAGCATAAATTACGTCACATACGTATAATTACCTGGAACAAAAAACAGAATAGATTAGTAAATCGCAGAGTTAAAAATTAATTAGAAAATTATTGTAGTCAGTGCAGAAAGAGTATAATATTAATATTATTTACTCTAAAGTTAAGCTTAATACATAAAACAAAATACCAAAAAGGACAAAAGTGAATGTAAAATAAATACACCTATCTTCTTTTTTGACTGCATATTTTCTGAAAACGTTTATTTACTTCATTGTATCTTAAATAAAACATTTTATTTTTAACTCTATGTACCTCATTAACACTAAAATGATAATAAAGCTGCTTAAAATAAACTTGGTTCATAAAGTTCGTACAGTACAGAACGCATAACAACAAACATGGTGTAATGTTACCCATATTACGGTACATTCGTAACCATTATTGCGCATAAACTTGTGCTTAAAATCACTCAACGTTACGGTGTTATGGTCACTAATGCCCCTAAATATTACGGCGTAGTACACTATTAGTTCCTATAAATTGTAACGTCGAATCGTACGTTACCGCAATGATCGCGTACAAGTGTTACCTACGTAATACGCGACTCGAGTAGCAGCTTATCTGATAACATAGTACGCATATCTACAATCGCATTCGCATTTAGCGTCAGGTGCATTCGAAAACAAATAAATTCGCTCGTGCAAATAGACCATCTAAAGAAATTATGCTACGGTGTACATACCGGGACATTCTTAGGGTTAAACTGTCGTAATTACAAGTCGATACTTGGAAGTTGCTCGGTTCCTGAATGAAGGAATCACGAGTGTGAGCATAAGGCTGCGCGAGCGTGTTATTACGACTCATGCGCCTATAATCCAGTCATAATTGAGATACGGTCATGTGTAAACTGGGTAATTAACAATTGTATTTTACTTTGATTGCAGGACGGCGGCGGTGGTTAGCGGTAGCGGTTCTGGAGCTCACAGGTCAGTGACCGCAACTACCTTACTTTCATGCGATCGGAATTCGTGAATCTTCAGAAATAACACGTCATTATGTCTTATTAGCCGTTGAGGAAGCACTTAGAGCAAATGTACGGAAAATAACACGCTCGCTCCTACCAGGGGATTGTTGAGCCATCTATTATTGCATCTATTAAGTATAAAATGTGAGGCTAGTAATTGAGTATATTAAAATATTTAATGCAACTTGAAAAGTGAATTTCTTGTAATTTAATTATCGTGAGTAAAACATGACGCGTAATGGTCGATCGCTATAATAAAAACGGTAAAAAGTCCAATACAAGCTCGTAATAATGTCAAATTATCTACGAATACGGCTCAGAAATAACGACCTCGAGCTCAACGAAGTGCAAACAGATATACAGTTAGTTTTGAGTAATTCGTATGAAGTGACTCGCAAATAATTTAGGGAAGTGAATGTATGTTAGGTTTGATGCAAGGTTTGTGGTCAAAATTGATGCACGGATAGAAGAAAACTAGTTAGTGTACCGTTGTCGGGAAGAAATAGAATGTAGAGCCAACGAAATTACCAAAACTACATTGTTATTGTGACAATTTACGACAGTCGAAAATAAATTGTTACCGTAAATGCTTGTGTCATGTTTACATAACAAAACCCGTAAGGATAAAATTAAAGTCGATAAAAACCAAGGATCGTCGTCCGAAATACTTGATACAGGTCCGTACAATGCCAAGGACTGCATTCCATTATCTTTTTTGCTTACAACGTACAATTTTGCGTTGCTCAATTTCCAAATGCAACGGACCGGTTTTCTTATGCCATCGTCCTGTTACTTTTACCGTTTTTCGTCTGCATCAAAACCGATGTTTAAATCACAGTGCGACAGATTTTTGGGATGATTTATTGGGAAAACTTCATTCAAAATATTTTGATAGCTTCCACATCCAAAGTGAACAACTTTAGAATAACTCGTTTTAGTAACTTGCTAGGTAGGTAATTGCATCTTAAAATACACAATAAAAAAACTTCCATCCAATTATTTTGTTCTTTTTAAACGCGTTTAAATTACGTGCTGTTGACGCTTAAAGCTCCTAATTACGAATAGCAGTAGATCCGTTTTTCACCGCATACTGAGTTAAATCGGAATTTCGTCGTTAGTGTCTCGCTTGTTACACAAGAAGGATGGCGCGAATTATTCTCGTTTATTGGTCGGCAAGTTGAAAACAGCGTTTACCACATTGTCCGGGTTACGACCCGCATCGTGATGCGATTATTATGAAGACACACGTAGGCGCGTTCAGCAAACGCGTTACAATGTATTAGAAGCTCAGGGGGACTATATCACGCTAATGTAGCCAATTTATCGCGTAATTTTGTAACTTTATAGAATCAGTGCCGCTTGTTCTACGTTTTATCTGACGGACAACTTTCTTGGTCAACTATCTAGAGTGCAATTTAAAACAATATTTTTAAAATAAATTACAACGAGGTTACCTTTCAATCTAAATGAGATAAAATAATGCCTTAATGGTTTTATATGGCGCATTTTGTAGAACATTCTTGTACCGCCCCGTTCACGCTACAGACACGTTCAGGCATTGATATATCAGTAACTATTTATATTGAATATAAATCATTTCTTACAAAGAAAATTGCAAGTAAACGTCATGTCGCTCAAGTATTTAACTTTATAATTTACAATGTGTAAATTGATTGTTAATTTCCTATAATGAGATTAAATGAGCCGCCTGTCAGGCCAGTGATTTATTATCGTAGGATCGCTTTCGCGCCGACTCGCGGCATCGCTGAGATTAGTACAACATTTGAGGCTACTAATTAGCACAATGGTGATGACTCTTGACGTTATAATCGCTACAATGCATTTACTATTATTGATTATTCTTAATGTACACACAAGTAGAGCCCAGACAGATTTAGAAACGGTAGCCAATCTCAGAACTCGTTTTTCACTTCTTGTTCAAATCAATATTGCATTCAAACAACATAGGAAGCACCGCGATGATTGCGATACCTTTCAGACCAAACAACGCGAACGAATCTCAAACCAGTTGTCATGTCCGCGCAGTTTCCTGATCACGAAACAATAATAATCAAACAATGATTCAGATCTAAATAGATTTTATGTTAATTTAGCGAACACTCAGAATAAAGATTAGTTCAAAGCGAGCATGCAAGTAGTAATACAGGAAATGTCCGAGGAATATCCACCCTGAGGCGCAGGGTATGCATCGGGAAGCAATCCTTGTACAGACTTTAGAACAAGCAAAAGGCGGTCGCTATGCTCGCCAGGGGCTTTTAATTGACAATGGATAGTAGGCGACCTGTATAGATGGCCAGTCCGATAGCATTTTACCTTTAACCCTCTCATTACAGTGTGTGATACCGAGCGCTCCAGCGATCATGCCTCGTTTGTTGACCAACGGGCCCGGGCAATACATCTATTTGCCATATCTTCGGTAATCTGCACGATTAGGCTCTCGTTGTGTGATACCGAGCTCAGCCTTTTAAAGGCATAAGGAAATTACGGTCAAGTTCATTATTTGTAAACACATAATTGCAGTGCAGTAGGTAAGTTTGTAAGTAATCGACGTGGTGGGAACTGGACAGTTTAAGTAATCGTTTCGTTGATTGCCAATACGCTCATGAGCTTTAAGTTGAGTGAAAAGACCGAGTGACATTAGCGTCGGCGCAATTAGGCGGCGCGCGCAGACCACCCGCTGCCCGGCGTTTGATCATTAGCCCAACAATTAGTTTTACATCTTGAACGTAATTGAACACGTTTATAGTACAGTTTTACATGTAATTGCATACTTGAACAAATAAAAACATAACTTCAGCGAGTTAAGCTTTTAATAACGGGTGACACCGCAACCGGTTGAGATTTTTTAGTTTCGATATAACCTTATCACCACTTTACGCACAAGTTTATCAAGTGCTACGGCAATTATATCTATTTATCGAGCGAATAAAGTGAATGGTCATTAGAGTTTAAAAAGTGTAAGTAATATTAATGCTGTTCGCGTGTTCCGTTAATTATCGTTTAACATGGTGCTCTATCAATTAACGCTGTTTAAATAACCTAGATAGGATTAAATGATAACTTCTCAACACGGCACCGTTACTGTAATGTTACCGTTTCCTTGTATGGTAGGTAGGTCTTCTTTTAAATAGAGCAATAGTATTGTTTTTGTTCAATGCAACATAAATGTTTATTTATTTACAAGTTAAATGATAAAAGATCTGGGTCAATCTAAAATTAATGGTACATACGTCATATGTCAAAACAAGAAACCATGTTATGACAGTGAGTGGTCAGTCGGATCGGGAGTTCACACGAGTTCCGCATCTTGATAACAGCAAACGAGTCATAACGTGGTATAGTTAACTGTATTTGAAATGTTGCATTAAAATGTGTATAACGTAAAAAATCTAGTTGGTAAAAGCAGCCGCCCAGTCGGTCGTCTTGTTTGTTTTACGATCGTTGTTTAGAAACCTGCGACTGTCGCGGCCGCCACCTTGCATGCAGATGCGGGGACGCTGCGTCGGCGCAGTAAATATGATCGCGTGGTGGGATCTGTGAGAACATAATTGGATATTCGCGGTAAGCTCCCGATTCGAAAGATAAACACGTCGAGGATAGCTCGGAGGCGGTGTTGTCAAGTGTCCGTCGAATGCTATCGGCGCGCGACATCTTCGTGCCGGGGTCGGTTTTTCTACGCGTGCGCGGTGCGGTGGGCGGTAATGGCGTCCGCCCCAACGGGATTCGCGCGCCGACATGGTTTCGCGTCTCATCGTGCGGCCGCAATACATCGCTCCACTTAAATTACGTGCGAGCTTGTTCCGGTAAACTATCGCGATACGGGCGCCGTAAAAACGCTGTTTCGCTCACACCCGAGACCCGCCGCGATTGAGACAGACTTCTTAGAAAACGTCCACCAGTTCCGATGCGATAAAACTTTTATGGCCACTCTACCTTATGGTCTGAAATGCTGTAGGCCACTTCCATACGAAACAATGTCAATGATGTCGGTCAACGACAGGTGAACCGAGCGAAGGTAAAAAATCAGTTGTTCACCGATAGCACAGCATCACGGTGAATAGCAATGATGTGCTTAAACGAGCCTCTTAAACGGCCGATCAATCACCGATAACGGTAGGCGCGGGATGACGTGACGCTAAATAGGTGTATTGACCCTACATTCAATATCGACTGACTAATAATGTGAACTATGCAACGTATTGTTTGTTAAAAAGACAATATGGTAACATTGCATAATTACAACGGTACTTTACTAAATTACACCTCGAAGGTAATGGAGATTACTTTGTAAAACGAAACACTAATATTGCAATTTGCATGATATCCAAAGTAGTGATTTGGAACGATAAAATTCGTGAAATGTGACAACAATGGCCGGCATGGGAGCCTCCCACGTTCAACGGAACCTCTTCCGCCGTTTAAATTGTGGGGCAACCGAAAGTAATGAGAGCAAATAAAACCAAGTAAAAGACTATTATCACACAATGCATACCGTTACACCTCTTGTCTAATCAGATGAATGATGTGTTTGGCTTTGCGACGGCCGCTGATTACTACTTATTCGTTACATTAATCATCCATGTTTGAAAACAAAACAAAATCAACCATCACGAGGTTTACGTGTGTAATTGTTTCGCAGTTGGCACAGATTCTCATATTTGATGGAAGGGGCGTGACCGCTATTAGTATGCAGTTAAGCTTACGAGTTGAATGATTGACAGTGTAAATGATTTTAATTACTCAAATCTATTAATTTAAATGATAATGTTTTCTAATCAATAAACGCCGACAATATAACGGTCCACTTTATGTTTACGCACCGTGATCGCTTTATCTCTCGATCTTGACCTACTTTATATAGCTTTTAACTGATATTATGGATTTTATCTTTTATGGAGGGCAGTAGATGGAGATGGAGGATTGATAAGCATCTGGCACGATTATCATGTAGCGCCGTGTTAGCTAAGTATCATGATGCATTTGAATACACATGATTGAAAGCGACCGTTCAATTTATCAGAAGCTGAAGCGTCGATCGGTACATTGCGTGCCGGAAGACCCCTCACCGTTATAACATTAGTGTTTTTGCATCCGACATCAGTGGGACAGGAGTGCGTCGCCGCTCCCGAGCACCGGGAAGTCAATCAATTACATATTAGCTTAATGTGACGTAGATGGCCACGCCGAGTTCGCGCCCACTGATTTGCATGGTGCGCGCAAACTGTTGCGCGGACGCTCGCATAACGGCGACTACGCGTCCGCGAGACAATCGCTCGTGATTGTTGTTTATAGCTTCTACACGTCCAAAGCGTATGCCATTTGTCACCCTTTAGCAGTCGCTGCGTGTAACCAATTACCAGTAATCAGGTTAAACATTGAAAATCACGTGCGAAGTGACGTAGCCACATTAAAAGCTCACGTGTGTTCCGCAGACGCGAACATGAAACAGTCTGAGACGGTACACGATCTCAGTGTGTGTTCGTGGCGATTTATGCTGTATAAAATTGTGTTCATTAGATTAGAGTTAGAGCGGGATCGTAAAGTAGGTTTTAATTGTTGGTGTATGGGATATCTGGTGCGGGTGCGATAGGGCCGGCTGAACAATGGCGGCGTGCGCGGTAGGCGGAGGCGCGGGCGTCGTGTTAGCCGGCGGCCGCTCTTCCCGGCTCGCGCCTGCAACAAAAGCAGCGCGGCCCGCCTACGAAACGTGGCCGAACTTTCCCAGGCAAAGCACACAGGATGCTGATTACAACAAAATTGGCGGTTACGAGCAGTGTGTCAATGAAACGCCGCGCCGCGCCGCTTTCATTGTGCAAACATCGCGATAAAATACTGAAAGCACGTCGGCGCTCTTAAAGGAACATAATACAGATCTCACTTGAGGTAATTTTACTCGCCTGCTAGTAAACCTTCAATGTTTATACAGAGTCTTTGCATCTCTCCGTCGAAGCTCACGGCGACATGTAGAAATACGTTGGTCATAAATTAGCCATGTAAAATAGGAGCAACGGCAAATAAAGTTTGAATTTAATAAAAGGTAAGAATAAAATGAGACAGGATCGACGTGAGAGGAGAGCCAAAGCATAAAATGCACAGGACCCGCAATAAACATGCCTCCGCGGGCGCGAGCTCAATGCTCATACTTCTCGTGTGCTGTAAAAAGCTTCGCATTTATTACTACGCATCTTGCATCCAAATGGGTTTCAAGTGTAAATATGATGCAAACGTTGCCTTTAATTAGTCAAATGGGGATGTTGCCTGGGTCAAAAAGCAAGAGTTTTAATTAGTCCGTCAGTTAACTTATCAAAAAATACTCTACACGTATTTTTCACTTTTTCAAACTAATGAAAATTTAAAGAGATAAAGCGCCCCAAAGTTCATAAGAAGAGGCCCGTGACGTCAACGCTTGCTTAAAAAAATGCCGCACGTTGTGACGTCGTGCGCAACTTCAACGCACCATAACTATGTAATTATTTGTTAGATTGACAAATAAAAATATATTTTTTTTTTTTTTTTTTTTTCCCCTTTTTATATCTGCAATCGACTTAGGTCATAATCAGATGTTTTGTCTTGCTTTTCTGTTTGTGTTCATGAGGAGGGGTATTCCAGTAAATTCTCTCCCTCGGTTTTTACTAATTCACGTAGCAATCTAGTCCATCCTTCCAATATTCAGTCCAAGCCACTAGCATCTTTGGTCCAACTGTAATATTTGCCATCTTTTCAGTCTTGTGGTGGTCTTGTGGGTTTGTTCCACAATTTCTCTAGCAAGTTGGTTTGTGTGATGTTTTAGCCTTTCCTTATATTTGGTACAGTATTTGCTCACCTCCTCCCTGACTGTCGGCATCTCCAAGTACTCGTGTATCTCTACATTTCTAGCGAACCATGGTGAATTTGAGATTGCCCTCAGTGTTTTATTCTGAAACCTTTGGAGGATTTCAAGGTTGGAATTACTGGCAGATCCCCAGAGTTGAATCCCATAAGTCCATATAGGCTTTATTATGCATTTATAGACCAGCATTTTGTTGTTTAAACTGAGGGATGATTGTCTCCCAATCAGCCAGTAGAACTTCTTAAATTGTAAATCTGCTTCTTTTCTCTTTGTTTTTATATGGGTTGCCCAGGTTAACCTCCGGTCTAGATGGAGTCCCAGGTATCTTACACAATTTTCTGTAGGCAGTTGTTGCCCCCGTAACGTTACAGCTGGGCAGTCTCCTTTGCGGAGTGTGAACGTTATTTGTAGAGATTTAGTAACATTTGGCTTTATTCTCCACTTTTCCAGCCATTCGTCAATTTCATACAGGTGATTTTGTAGTTTTTCTGATGCCAAAGCCGGATCTTTATGACTTGCAAGACATGCGGTGTCATCTGCATATGTCGCTGTTACTACATCTGTATTGCATGGTAGGTCCGCTGTGTATATAGAATATAGCACAGGACCGAGCACAGATCCCTGTGGCACAGACGCCCCAATATCATACAGAACGGATACTTCTTCGCCAAATTTAACTTGGAACTTTCTGTCTTGTAGGTAGGACTTAAGCACCATATAATATGAATTAGGTAGAAAACTTTTTAGCTTATACAAAAGACCTTTGTGCCAAACCCTATCGAATGCCTGCTGGATGTCCAGGAACACCGCAGCACAGTATTCTTTCTGCTCCAGTGATTGTCTTATCTTGTTCACTATACGATGTACTTGTTCCACTGTGCTATGTCGCTCCCTGAACCCAAATTGGTGATCTGGTATTATGGCTTCTTCTTCTAATATTGGTTTAAGTCTTTGCAAGAATATTTTCTCAAATAACTTTGATAGTACTGGCAAAAGACTAATTGGCCTATATGAGCTCGGATCTGTGGGCACCTTTCCAGGTTTCAGCAACATGCATATTTGAGAGACGCCCCACAATCTAGGAAAGTATTGTATTCTCATTATGGCATTGAACAGCATAGTCAGGAAGACGACTGGTTTTCTGGGTAGATGTTTAAGGATTTCACCAGTGATTAAGTCAAATCCTGGAGCCTTTTAATTTATATTTATGTTACAATTTTGCTAAGACAAGAGAAAGTTAGGTTTTGTAGACTTTGACTGAATTAAAAAAATATTTATGTACATTACAGGTCGAGTTAGAAAACACTTTAGAACAAGAGCAAGAAGCTCTGGTGAATAGGCTATGGAAAAGAATGGATAAGCTTGAAGCAGAAAAAAGGTCTCTTCAAATTAGGTTGGATCAGCCTGTGTCGGACCCAGCCAGTCCTAGGTATGTTAAATATTTATCAACACAATACTTAAACACTACAGCCATTCCTTTCATAGCAAAAACGTTAAATAGGTAGTTTTAATACATAATAAACATATTGGCATTACATAATAAGTGTTCACTGTTAGATAACATTATATGAGTTAACAATTTTTTATTTTTTATTGAGTACATAACTATGACACATGGAAATAGTACTTGTGTGTGGTCCACATCAATCACTTGTTTTTTCAGGGACATTAGTAATGGAGACACTGCATCCAATCTTAGCAATCATATTCAAACATTGCGCTCAGAGGTTGTCAAGTTAAGGTAATTAATCTTTGTTTTGTTTAATAGTGAATAGGCACTTACAGGGCAGATATGTACCATCCTAGACTGCATCTCACTTAACACCAGGTGCGATTGCGGTCAAATACCTGCCTTGGCTAGCATAAAAAAAAAAAAAAAATTTAATATATAAATAATTATTGTTTATTTTAATATTTGTTTCTTTTTTTCGTATTCAGGAACCAATTGGCTGTATCACAGAATGAGAATAAGGAGAAGATGCATCGTTTCGCCTTAGAAGAGAAGCATATCAGGGAAGAAAATCTCCGCCTGCAACGAAAACTACAGCAGGAGGTTGAACGTCGTGAAGCGCTTTGTCGGCATCTCTCTGAAAGTGAATCGTCGCTTGAAATGGAGGAGGAGAGACAGTTCAATGAAGCACTGAGTGTGAGTTTTTTTTTAAGAAGTAACTCTATTACTTTTATGAGAAACTACGCGGCACACGACTTATTTGCACCGATTGCGTAAACCAAATTAATGAATGCGTCATGGAATGACCCATGTAGAAGGATTGAAATGCGTTTTTTCAGGAACTTAGGGCTGATTTTTCAATCATCGGATAACTTTTAACTGAAGAATAAGTTTGACACATTGACAGTTTCAGTATGGGAAATATGTCAAAATGACAAGCTTGTTCTTCAGTTAAATAATATCTGACGATTGAAAAATCAGCCCTAAATTTAATTGGGGAGTTGTTGGTACAACATTAAAATCATCATTTCTAAGATGCAACTTCTTTATTTATGCTTCATTCTAGACCTGAAAACGGATAAATTTTTCAACTGGATGTGAAAATCGATAAATCTTGAAAATCCATCTTTAATATTTGTCAGTCAGTACAGTTCGCGACCTGATGACGACATAGTCCCTATTGCTGTATAAAATCTACGGGACAGTCGCGTTTTGACTGCTCATTAATAGAATGTCAATTAACTATCTTATTGTTGAGGGTTGACGTATGTTTCTTGTATAGTCAGCATCAAATAGTTCGTGACACCCAAAGTAGCCAAAAATGTCGTAACACGTCTTTGTTACAGTAGGTATACAGGGTGTCCCGTAATGTAACGTCAAGCCGGAACTGGGTGTTGAGGCAAGTTATGCTGGTTATCAGAAAAATATAAAAAAAAATCTATGTGGCATATTTTCAAAATAATGGGCATTTAAAAAAAAACAAAAATTTCTACTCCAGGTGACGGTCTTTTTACTCGTGTTGCCACAAATCTTCACTTTTTCCAAATTTTTTTTTTGTTATGTAACCCTGAATAATGCTACTCTAAATTGTTATCAAAATTACAAAACCAGCTGCTCCAGCTTGGATGAAAAAAATACATTATTCCTAAAAAAAATTTCAAAATAAAAATTTTGTCTCGTTTAAACTGACTGTACTGAAAAAAAATTGTACTACGCGAGTGTGGCAAGGGACGTCATAATTTGGCGCATTTAGTAAGGATTCCAAAATGGTATAACACTTGGTAAATTCTTGCTGTAATTGTCGACAATTTTTGTTTTTTTGGAAATAATCCCGGTTTTAACTTTATCTACCTTGGTTAAAAATTATTATTTTAATGTGCCCAAAATTCAAGTTTCTGGCTTAAANGTGACAGTCGGTTGCGCCTGCTTTGGTTTGTTGGCATCATTCGTATTATTCTTGTGATACCTTCTGGTGTATATGTCACGGTACACTGAGCACCCTTTGTAATTTGCGGGGTGACTACCTTCACACAAGGCACAGGTGGCCGGGGTGTTTCTGTCTTTACCACAATCTTTACTGCTATGGGTTTCTCCGCATTTCACACACCTAAAAGGTCTCATGCAGTAATTTTTGGTGTGACCATACTGCTGGCACCGTGTACACTGGGCAATAGTTTTACTTCTTCTAGGATCTTCTATTTGGACTTTTTGGTGATAAATGTACTCTATGTTTTTAATTTTTGGTAGATTTTCACTTGGTACAATATTCACAAAGAATACATTGTAGGGTTCTTTTGTATTTTTCCTTCGGGCATTAATAATCTCTCCTTTTATTTTGTTTCCAGTTGCTTCAATAGCTTCTAGTATTGCTTCCTTCGGTGTAGTATGATGGAGATTTTTAATAACAAAAGTTTGACACCTATCTTCTTTCTTTGTGAAAGTGTGTCCGATCAATCCTTTAGCCCGTATGTGAGTTATGAGTTGCTCGTAGACTGCTACAGATTTGGAGGATATAATTAACTGATCTCTAGATGATATTTTATAGGTATATTCTTCTTTATTTGCTTTCTCTTCGATGAAGTCAGTCAGTTGTTTTACATCATTTTGTTTGGTAATTGTTTCAGGACCTGCTATTTTATGTATATCTCCAGTTGAATTACTTTTGGGTCGAGTAGCCATATCAAATAGCCCCTTATGGAACACTTGTTGAACAAGTTGTTTGTTTACAAGAACTGATTTGGATGGTTCACAAGATGGTTTTACTATATTGTCGTTGTTCGACATTGTTGCTACTTTATTAATTATCCGTTTTCAAAGCTATTTCTTCCAAACATTGTTTTTATTTCCCACGAAAGAGAGAAATTCGTTAACACTTTTTGAAATTTTGAGGTTAGGTTTCAGTTAGATTTTTGTTCACTGTTTTCACTATTTACACTTTGGTCTTTTAATGAGTTAACAGCAATTGCGAGGAATTAGCACTATTGGAGTCCAGTTATAACACTTTTTAGTCCAGATTAGCAAAATTCACGAAAATATGCAAAAAGTTGTCGGAAGTATAGACTGACGCGAGCGCGTTCCGTTTCACTTTGTGTCCAATATTTTTTGATATTAAACATTACGGACTAAAAAATTTTTTTAGGCAACTAGCCTATTGAATTATTTTTTTAAAAGTTAAAGCTATTTGAGTCAAATATTAAATCTTATGTCCATTAATTTTACACAGCAATGACTTCATTTAAAAAAAACTTTGTAGCAGCAGCATCATAGAACAAATTATAGATAATGTCAAGCTCTTACACCGGAACGCGGTGAATATGTTATTAATATTAAGACTTCGATTATGATGTTGAGGAATTACCTCTGAAGAAGCAATATTATGAGTAACATTGATTGGAGTGATGTCGAGCTAAACCAGTCGATGATTGTATCCCTTTAAGTATTATTAGAGATTATGAATTTGTTTAGTAACGAGTTTACCAGAGCGATCACAGAGCGTAATAGAGGTAGAGTCGACCAAAAAAGTCGTTTACCACACTTAAGCCAAGTTAAACCTTAAGGTTTAATAGGCGCAAAGCACGTCATTTAACAGTTTGTATTGCTAATTGTTTATTTTTTGTTGAAAAAGTTAAAGCTTATAGAGTCTCGTTAACATAAGATTAACGAGCATAATGAAAAAGTAATTAATATTTAATAATTAAACTCGTTAAGGCCATTTAGGTGTTTAAATAGGCTATTGAAAAGTTTAACGCGTCCCTTTCGCCCTACCACTTGGTCGTGGTCAACTGCACCGGGCTCTGTCGAGTTTACGATTAGTATTAGCGACGTGTGTCGAGTAATTTCATCATTGCGTTGAAACAAGCTAAGTGCAGAAGGAATCAACAGATTTCCTAATTCCAATCTCATCTGGCTTAACGGTTGTCTACGTATCGATAAAATTGAACGCGACAGCTACTTATATGATAGACACGCTTCAATCATGTTTCAATGTTTGGCATCGTTTTATAATTTTATATAACTGTCCATTAATTAACAAATTCATGAATTCCATCGTTCATCAAGCTAATTGAAATCAGTAAGACGTAGACTAGATTACCTACTTCCATACATAATTTTAGTTTTGATATAAAAAGCTTTTGAAGAAGTCGTAACAAGAAACGATTAGCTTTTTTGATAACTGAAATTGATCGCGTGACGATGGAAACTAGAGCTGAAAATACAATAAAAGACGTGAAAATATAATGTAGACCGGCGCGCCTCTCCATTTGTGGGTACAAAACGCTCGACGCGATCAGCCCGATCTCATTTCCGCCACTATTGAAGTGTTAACTAACAACTATTGCGCTTCCAACGAGGCTAATCAGCGAAAAGTAGATTCGTTATTTCGATGCAGCGTATTTGAGCGCACGACCGATACCTCGAGTTAGATCCTGCGGACACCTGAAGCCGCAATGCAATTTGCAGGTACCTACTGCCGCGTCGGCGCACTGATTGAACCTAACCTGTAAATCGTATCTACCGCGTACGGCCGGTTGTCATTACAGCGAGCTACAAATTCCTTGTGGTCGGCAATTTCACACAGACCAAAAACTATTTGTTTAACACCGTCTCCTAACATCATTTATGCTACGATTTGATCCTTATCCAACTAAATTGCTATTCGAATATCCAAGTCAATACCTCATTATCATAGTTCATAACTTTCTCGCGTCTAGACACTTATTCATATTTCACTCGGTATCGACGGATGTATCACCGGCATGATAGCAGATTCTATTTACGAGTCCGGGGCACGGCCGGCTGCTGTACGTAGATAGTACGAGCCGATCGTTTTGCCGTTAGTGCAATACCATAATACAATCCGGTATAGCTTCGTCCGACCTACGACAAGTGGACATGCGGTACTGTTAGCCATCGTGTCCAACAAGCGACAATGCGCTAAACTTTATGACACAAGCCAAACGCATTTTGTGAATATGTTAAATGTCGCCGCCAAGTTGTAACTTCCCAAAGAAGATAATAGTTTTATATTGATTTGCAGTTAACATTCCGAGAAAGTTTATTGTTATTAAAGTTAGATATATTTTACATTGTTTCGGGAAAAGAAAATCTTTTGGATTTTCTTCTGGTGATACACCAGAATTGAGGATGTATTGAAAACCGAATGAAAACGGCTACCATTTGCAGTGTTATCGCTGAAGTCGAGTAGATACCAAAAATTGATTCGTACTTATTTTGTCGCAGTCGGAGCTAATGGATAACCGTATTTTACAACACCAGAGAACAGCTTATTGTTGTTATTGTGGCCGCGCGCGACGGAAACGAAAAAAAAGATGACGAATTTGGATTTTCTGCGTATTTGGCGATTTCGTTCGAGGAGAGCGGGAGGCAGACACGCGGACTCAGAAGTGGTCGTGCGCAACGCGGCGCCTACCGTTACACTGCACCACTTCGCGGACAGTTAGCTGCACGGCTGCGTGATGCTGATATGACGGCCATCGCCACCCCTTGCGCAAATGTGCATAGCGTGCGCAATAAAAACGCTCCACAAATCACGACTTTTCACCGCCGCTACTACAATCGACTCTCATATGAAACAGCAACAATGATAACACCTGACCGGGTCACTAAGTGCATCGTTAGCGCTGTCCCCATGTCGTTAAGTAAAACACGTGTTCTCGTTCTGTGAAGTGTACCAG